ATTTTGCTGGGACAGAGTCACAAGAAAACAGCATTCTTGGTTTCTGACAGCTGGCTCTATGTGGCAGAGTGTGAAGGAAAAAGATGCTTTGGATAAAAAGTACTTGAGGAAACAGGATGTGCAATGTGGTCAGATCAGGCTTAGGGACGACCACGCAGCACTGGCAGAGCACCAAAACTGTCACTCCCAGGGCGGAGGTGAAGAGGGTAGGCGTCTAAAGAGGAACAAATAACTGAGATGGGAGGTGAGACCAGAGAGAAAAAGATGACCAGGGAAGGGGATGGTGGTATGTCTAGAGGGAACTAGAGGAGTATCAGGGTTTGGGAGGTGCACACACAAACAAAAAACAGTAAAAATTATTTTTGCTCACTAAATAAGATGATGAATCCATGGAAGTCATCAGAATGCGAGCACAGGGGTATGGCTCAGTGGTAGAGTGCTGGCCTAATATTCTAAAGTCCCTGAGTTCCTTCCTAGCAAGGGTAAGGGGCTCTCAAGCATAGTGATGGGCGAACAGTAAGGGAAGGGCCCTGAACACCACATCTAAACATTCAGGTCACGGGAATGAAATGTATAGACATACAAGGGTCTCAGCCAGCACTGGAGAGGTAAAGATAGAAGACACTGTTATTAACCGAGTCCCCATGACAGAGCACACTGTGGACAGCGTTCATTTAAAGAGCTCTGTCCAGCACTGTTCTCAACTTCTGCATCCTCAAGTAAACAATATGTCATACTTGTGTACAATCTGGTGCCTAATGCCAGAGTTGAAATCTTAACATATGGATAAATGCTTAAAAATAACACTACTATGGTAAGTTTATTTATAAGAATTTGTTTTCAGGGCTGGAGAGACACCTCAGCAGTTAAGAGCACTGGCTGCTCTTGCAAGAGGACCTGAGTTCAACTCCCAGTGCCCACACAGCAGCTAACAACTGTCTATAACTCCAGTTTCAGGGGATCTGACGCCACCTTCTCACCTCCACGGGCAGTGTATGATATGGGTGCACTTATATGTAGGCAATACAAACATAGACATAAAATAATAAAATTAATTTTTTAAAAAAAATTTGTTTTGGGGGCTGGAGAGATGGCTCAGAGGTTAAGAACACTGGTTGTTCTTACAGAAGACCCAGGTTTGAATCCCAGCACCCACATGACAGCTAACAACTGTCCGTAACTCCAGATTGAGGGGAGCTGACATCCTCTTCTGTCCTCTGCAGGCACTGGCACAACATGGGTGCACTTATCTACATGCAGGCAATACACATAAAATAAAAATAATAAATAAATTTTTTTTTAAATTTGTTTTCAATAGGGGAGGTAGCTCCATAGTAGAATGCTTGCCTGGCATGCAAAAAGCTCTGGATTCCATCCTCAGCACTACAAACAAACAAATTATAAAATTTGCTTTTTAATTTTAAAACAGCACACAAGGAAAAGTGATTTGTTCTTATAAAACTAGGGAGTGAATTCTCTTTTAAATTGTGGAAGAAGGGGTGGAAAGATTGTAAGGGCCAGGGAGGAGGTGTATAAATATAGAGTCTTACAAGCTCCTGGGACCCTGCTCATAGGAACCTACAGCAATGGTGTCAGCATGCATAAGACTCACTCAAACTCAAGCAGACAAGAACCCAGCATAGAACTGGGGAAATGGACAGTTGACCCCAATCTTAGTTGAAATATTGGCAACTGACTACTGCTGGGTGAGGAAGAACTGATCTTCCTAAAGTGAGGGACTCTAGATAGGCTGTCTAGACCTTAGTTGATGAACTTGCACTGAGGGATATCTGGGGACACTAGCTTGACACAATAAGCCTTAAAACAAATGACAGATGTATGAATTCCAGTGGGGGGACTATGGGAGGATGCCAGTGGGTAAAGGGGTATAAAGATGATTAAGATTGAGATTTTCTGTATGAAATACACAAAAATTCAACAAAAAGAATTAAAAACAAACAAAACGAGGCTCCAGAGATGGTTCAGCAATTGCAGAGACTCAAGTTTAGTTCCCAGCACCCATGTTGGGCAGCTCATAACCACCTGTAATTCCTGCTCCAGGAGCTCTGACTCCCTCTTCTAGCCTGTAAAGATACCTGCACTCATATGCACATACCAGTGCAAACACATACACACATACGCACCTAATTAAGACTTCTTTAAAAAAACAAAAGGGGGGGTGTGTGGAGAGATGGCTCAGTAGTTAAGAGCACTGGCTGCTCTTCTAGAGGACTTGGGTTTGGTTCCCAGCACCCACATAGCAGCTAACATCTGTCCTTAGCTCCAGAGGATCCAATGCCTTCTTCTAACCTCCATAGGCATTGCATGTATGTGGTACACTTACATACATGCAGACAAACACTCATACACATAAAAATAAGGAAAAAATTGAAAAATAAAAGAGAAATAAGAAAACAAAAGAGCCTTTGGAAAAAAACAAACAAAAACAAACCCATGTCTGCCTGAGCTCAAATAATAAGATAATTAAAAGAAAAATCAGTCGCTTTAGCCAGAGATGCCAAATACCCTTGAATGTGCGGCTACTCTGAATTAGTGAGCCCCTGGGGCCTCAAGTTAAACTGAACATTACAGGACACAGAAGGCCCAGTGCAATGTGGTTTTGTGGTCTTCAACCGTCCTGCCAACCCGGATAAGTCTGGTTAGTCAGGGACCATCTGGTGACAGCGTGAAGCCCTGCTTAGCAGAACCGAACACAAGAGGTCTGCACCTCCCAGAGACGCATCCCCTGTCAAAATGTCACCACTGTGACTGCTTCTGCCCCTCCAGGTCCCTAATCAAGCACACTCTCTGAGGGATAAGCAACAGTCTCCAGTGATCTGGGATTCAAAAGGAAAAATGAGAGAAAGGCAAACTTTCTATTTGACTATTTTTAGTACCAGTAGAAGCGTTGTGAGGACATCATGTATGCCTTTTAGTCATGCGTGTCCTTCTAGCCTGTAACAGCTCTAGATCCAGGCCATACCAGTCTAAAAATCTCTCATTAGAGCACTCAACCCTGCCCTTGGCTGTCTGTAGAGGGCAGCGGTCTCTCCCAGGTGGGTGAAGGGTTAACCCCAGGCAGTAGTGGTGCAGGTAAAAAGGCACAAGGTCCAAAACAATAAGTTGCTCAGAGCTGAACAAACACAGCGACTGTTGGAATATGCAGATAGAATACGCAGCCCTAGAGCTACCCAGGCCCAGAAGTAGGGTGGAATCAGCAGGGAGCAGGCAAGTCTGAAGGGACATAGTCACCACCCAGAAGGCCACCCTATCTTCCTGCTTCTGTAACTGGAGTTGGAATGGCCATGCACCCATCTCCCTGCCAGAAGCTCAGGCAGAAAGGAGCTTTGAGAATCAGTTAGTGTCTCCAGCAACCTCCTGAAACATTAGTGCAGATTTGTCTGGACGGGATCCTGCGTAAGTCTGGTATCTATCGTCATCTGGTCACATCCCTCAGCACCTCTACGAGAGGGTAAAGTTACTGGACACCAGCCTGATGTCCCCAGCTAATAAACAGGGAGTGACCTCAACACAGGACAGACACAGGCAATCAATAACAAAAGAACCTGCAGCTGCCTGGCATCAGGGCAACACAGCCTCGACCTTGACCCCAACCTAAACTGCCCGCAGGGTTATTTCAGGTGAGAAGTTAAAGCTGGGAGTTTAAGTTTACCCAACTTCAAGACCCTGGCTGCTGCTGGCCAAGAGGGCTGCTCCAATTCCCATCCTCCACCTCTTGCCTCCCAGATCTCACACCTGTGCTGGGAAACCACAACCAAGTGACTCAACATGGGGTCTGTGTGGTGTTCCATCTCCCTTCTGCTCCCCACCAGCTGAATTCCTCTGTGCTTACAGCCTGGCCTCTGTCCACCTTTGCAGCCTCATCATCCTGCACTGTCCCTAAAACTTCCCAAAGCTATGCTTCCTCCTTCACTCACTGTTCCCTTATCAAGACCCACTGTGGCCCGGTCAATAGGGGCCACCCTCCTCCCCAGAGAATGACCAAATCCCACAGCTGCCAGCCCTGGCTGCAAATGGCTAGTTGAACTAGTTAAAGGACAGACACCTGAGTGACAGCAAGTACTGGGGTTCAGGGCTCTAGACCCTCTTGGCTGCCTCGTTGCTATATCACCACACCAGGGGCTGGAGGGGGGGTGGCCTCAAAATGCTAATACAATACGGGCTGCTGCACCCTACGATAAGTGGGAAGTCGACACCATTTAATGAACAGACTCCTCTCTCCACGGAACCCCTAAACATATTACACGTCCCGCGTACCCTAATAGTACTTCCACTCTTGCCACCCCTCTGTCACTGAATAATTCCTAAATGTGTCACTTGCTCCCACCGCCTAGGACGGGCTGGGAGGGTCCGCGTCCCCTGTAACTGGAGGGGCAGCCCGACGGGCACCGCCTGGCGCGCGCAGAAGGGCAGTCGATTTTCCAGTCAGAACTGAACAAACTTAGGCGTGAGGACGAAAGTCTCCCAGTACCCAAGAGTTTTTTCCAGAGTAATTTCTGCCCACTGGGTGAGGAGACCTCGCCACACGTAAAGTAGACAGGGATCTCCCCTAGCCTTCATCCTCCGCGGGGACCACAAAACCTGCACACGCAGCCTCCTCCCACGCATCTCCTCGGGCCGCCAGGAACTGCCCAGGTCACACCACATGTGAGCGACGGCCCCTCGTCTCCCCCCAAGTCCCAACTCCGCAGGATCCCGGCCTGTCCCAAAGCCGCGGGGTCAGAAGATGCCTTGTCCGCGCCGCCTCTCCATCCTTCTGGACGCAATGGGCATCGTGGGCAGCGCGCGCCCTGCTGCCGGCAGCTTAGGAGCCCGCGGGAAGGGAGGCCCAGTCCGCGAGGGACCCCAGGGCCCATCTGCCCAGCCTGGGGCGCAGGCTGCTAGCAAAGAGGCCCTCCCCCTTCCGCTCCCAGGCCCCGCCCGGCCTCGGCTCCCCAAGAGAAGGGAGGCCGGAGAGGACACCCGCCGAGGACACTTACTTAAGAGGCTACATAGTTTCACCTCTGGGCTGCGACAAGCACCTCCCGGACCCTCTGCAGGGACTCGGTACCCACCACCCGGGTGCGGTGGCTCGACTCTACAGCCCACCCTTTTACTCCGCCGTTGGGTGGAGCCTCGTCACAGAGTCCCCGGTCTGCCCAATGACAGGCCACATTCCCCAAGAGTGACAAGTACTTAGAGCAATCATCGAGTCCAGCCCAGCCAGGGGTGGGGCTCGGGCGACTCAGCGCTTCCTTACTCAAATTAGCCCCTCCCAGAGTCACTGAGTGCGCGTGCCCAGAATGGGAGAGGGCGGGACCTAGGGCAGAGCTGACACTAGGGGTGGGGTCCAAGCTGGGTGCCTGAAATGTGGCTCAACAGCGGCTCAGGAGAGCCCCAACTAGGGAACCATCCTGCCAGGCCAATGCCAGTGCTGCAGGACAAAGTGGCCAGTACGCAGCACACCACTCACTTGCCCACAGGGTCTAGTACTCAGTGTCCCCGGTTCTTCTCACTTGCAAAGGCTCCGCATGAGCTAAAGCCCTCTTTTAGGCCTGTTTCCCCATCTGCAAAAGAGGAAAAAGTTGAATCTGCAATGTACAAACTTCTGGAGCTGTAATGGGATGCAGGGAAAGGAGCGAGGGAAACACACACGTGACCTCCCCGGGCTGGGCCCCGCCTACCTCTAGTCCTGGCAGTGGGAGCGCCTAGCCCGAAAGCAGGGAATAGGCGTGTCCTAGGAGAAGCCTAGGCGGCTGTGAGCTGTGGCTAAGGCGCGGCGCTCAGTTTGGCGACGTGGGGAGGATCAAGGATGGGATCTGTACCGCTGGCTTCACTGGGACCCGCTGTGGAGGCGAAGGTCGTGCAGAGACACAGCGTGTTTCCCGGAGCGCGTCTGGGGAGGATGCACCAGCGGATGGGAGGCAGCTAACGGGATTCCCTCTCCGCGTGGGTAGTCCGAGGAGCACGTCGCGAGTTCCCCAAGAGGGTTCGGTCGAGGGAAAGCCGCAAAGCCATGAGAAGAGTTGGGGACGCCCAGCTGGAGGCGACCTGCGACGCTGAGGGCGTGAGAGGGGGCCGCGATGGCCAGGGAAGAGTGCAAGGCGCTGCTGGATGCGCTCAACAAGACCACGGCGTACTACCATCTCCTGGTGCTCAGCGTGGGCGGCTCCGCAGACACGCAGGATCTGCGCGAGGAGCTGCAGAAGACGCGCCAGCAGGCGCGCGAGCTGGCGGTGGCCACTGGTGCCCGGCTGACCGTGGCGCTGCGCGACCGGAGCTTGGTGGCGGAGGATCGCGCCGAGTTTGAGCGCCTCTGGGTGGCCTTCTCCGGCTGCCTGGACTTGCTGGAGGCCGACATGCAACGCGCACTGGCGCTGGGAACCGCCTTCCCATTGCACGCGCCGAGGCGGCCTCTCGTGCTCACCGGCGTGTCTGGTGGCTCCTCCCTGATGGTGGCCCGGGCCCTGAGCACACGCAGTCAGCGGCACGAGGCCGAGGGTGGCTTCGACGTCGCAGATCTGCTGGAGCTTGAGCGCGAGATCCTTCAGGTGGGCGAGATGATCGACGACATGGAAATGAAAGTCAACGTGCCCCGCTGGACAGTGCAAGCCCGGCAGGCGGCGGGCGCAGAACTCCTGTCTAGTGTCAGCGCTGGTGCGTCCTCCGCCCGGATGTCCGTACAGGAACGCTCGGGGCCCTGCGATCCCAATAAGGCCCTAGCCACCACCGTTTTCAGCGCCGTGCTCCTGGCGGCTGTGGCTCTAGCCTTATGCGTGGCAAACCTGAGCTGACACCCAAAGGTCACCCGCTGCCCCTGCGCCTCAAGGGGAATTGTGCTTGGAGTCTGGCATTAAGGGGAGCCCTACTAAACCTTGGTATGTGCATAGGTACATGATTGTTTCTTGTTTTGACAAGACATGTTTTTGTGCTTGCTAGCCCAGAAGGAGTTAACTTTGCACGGGACGATCAGGGCATTATCTCTAATGTCTGCAGAAGCTTTAACTCCTATTAATAGAAATCGGCCCACAGTGCCCCCAGATCCCTTTGAATTTATGACTTAACAAGTACATCCCAAGTTTGATTTCCCCATCCCAGCGGATTTCCCCATCTCCCACTCTGCCTGGGACAGTTTGGAAAGGGGGTTGGGATTGCTTGAAACGTTGAGAGTGGGGACGTTTTGTTTCCTGGATAAGAAGCAAATTGCAACAATGCAGTCAGTTTTTATTACCTTAATCCTCTGGGGCCTAAGCTTTGGGAGAGTATGCAGATAAAAGTTCCACAAGTGCTTTCTCTATCGAAACACCATTTCACTTCTTGGGTGGGTTTATCCATTAGACACCGGAAGCTACAAGAGGTTTGGGGTTGTGACCCTGTTTAGGAAAACCAAGAAGGTTGATCCAAGGGATGTGGTGGAATTGGATCCACCCCACATTTGCGTCAAGGGAAGAGCTCAGCCTACCCATCCCAGGATGGCGGAGGAAAAGAGGCTAGACAGCTTTGGGAAGGGCCACACACTTATGTAAACAGGCACTTTCTCCTTCCCAGGAGCTTATTTTGTTCCAAAACTAGACCAGAGTGTTTGATCCTCCTTCGAGGGAGGACTGAGGAATCAATCCTCTTTGAAGGACTTAATCCTATCTATGTCCCTGGAATTTGCGTGGCTAGCCAATAGGAGCACTAGCTATCTAGAGAGCTGCCCGCTCTCTGACCCCACAACTACAGGAAAGGGCAAGGTGGCATTACTGGCACACACAGGCTGTGAGCCAATAAGCTGAGACCAAGTTCAAATGTGACAGCTTGAACTTGGAATTTAAACAGCTTTAAAAACAAATACAAAGAAGCAGGGCTGGAGAGGTAGCTCCGGATTAAGAGCCCACACTTCTCTTAGAGCAGACCAGAGTTTGAGTCCCAGCACCCATTGCTGGTGTCCAGCAACCTCCTGCAACTCCAGCTTCAGGGGATCCAAGGCCTCTGGCCTCCATGGGTACACACACACTCTGAAAAATAGAAATTAAAAAATCTTTTTAAAAAGCCTACATCCTTGGGATTGGAGAATGACTCAGTGGTTAAGAGTACTGGCTGCTCTTGCAGAAGACTGGTTGGATTCCCAGCACCCACATGGTGGCTAACAACCATCTGTAACTCTAGTTCCAGGGAATCCAACGCCTTCTTTGATCTCTGCAGGCATTGCACAACACAGGTGTATCTACCTACATGCAGGCAATACATTCATACATAAGATAAAAATAATAAATAAAATACTTTTAAATGCCCACATCCTCTATAAGAAAAAAAAAATGGCATTACAGCATGCAGTATCAACGTGGGCTCTTTTTTCTTATGTGAAGGATGTTAAGCCAAGAAGTCAAACGCAGAGGTTTTAGGTTACTAAACATGCATCTGCATCATTTTTTAAATCTGTGTTCTTGAACATAGGTTGAATTTTGAGACTGTAACACAAATAACCGGAATCATACATATAAAAGGCAGAAGTTAAGGTGCCCCTGCTTCTTTTAACCCGTGAATATGGAAATGTGGAAAGGGCCCTTAGCCCCAAGGGCAAATTTACCTTCTGGAACGACCACTTTTCACCTGGCACCCACAGGGCTCTTTCACATTCTTAAGGAAGTCAGGCTGAGAACGCAGATGTAATTAGCCTTCTAACAATAATTTGGAATAAAATCAAAGACTGGTTTTGGCTGGAAACCAAACGATTTTTTTTTTTTTAACCTCTAAAAGTGAGATAGAAGACCAAGTGTGGGAAAGTGGCGGCTCTTCACAGGATCAGTTTGAAAGGCTGAGTCACACGTGAATAGGGGCAGAATTGTTGTCTGGGCACGGGGTTCTAAAGGCCTCTCCTCCCTTCTATCCTAGCCCAAACCCAGTCTCGGCACACAAATTCTGGGGCCCCAAACCAAGAAAAATGGAATCTGTTTCCATGTGGCTATGGTCACGGTCACACTTTTAAAAGACCCATAGGTCTTAAGCTGATTGAACCCTTTAGGATAATTTACTAATAAGAACCCTTGCCTCCTTCAGTCTAGGTAAAGCTGAATAGGCGCCACTTCTAACCTTTTTTGCTCCTGCCTAACCAGAATGCCTTGGGAGATGACATAGAAAGTTTTAAATTTTGTTTCCCACACACAACATAACATAGAGTCTCTGTCACCTTGTCCAGAGACTTGTCTCTCAGGCAAGAGACATCAAGAGGTATTTTCTGACAGGGTGTTGGGAAGTATTTCTAAGAACCAAGGGTCAATGATATTCTGCTCTTTCTAAGACTGTGACTGTCTGTGTTTTTGAACTGTAGCCCCAGCTGACCTGGAACTTCCAATGTAGATCAGGCTGGCCTCATTCTGCCTCTGCTTCCTGAATGCTGGGATTAAAGATGTGAGCCCCCATGCCTGGCGGTTCTTATATTTTTATATATGTTTATATTTTTAAACACTGGGGGCTGGAGAGATAGCTTAGCAGTTAAGAGTACTTGCTGTTCTTGCAGAGGACAAAAGTTCAGCTCACAACCACCTGTAACTCCAGAGCCAGTGCATCAGAGTCCCTCTTCTGGCCTCCTCGGGCACCTGCACTCACATAGCATACACAGATCTCTCTCTCTCTCTCTCTCTCTCTCTCTCTCTCTCTCTCTCTCTCATGATTACATTTCCAAAGCTGTTATTCAGAGCATATTGAAGACACAACCCATCTGCAAACAGGATAAACAAGCTTCCTGTCGACACTCTTTCTACCCACTTAGATATTTAATTAGCTGTGCCATCAGATGTCTATCTGTTTCTGATGGTTCTTTGGTCACTAAAATTCATGATGAAATACTACAAAAAGAAAAAGATGATTACAATAAACATTCAAGCTATACACTGTTAACCTAAATAACTCCGAGTTTGAAACTGTTATGCATTAGGCATATTCTTTGATGTACTAACACTGTCTAATAGAACTTCTGCTATGTGACACAAACAAAGTCACTCTCTGCCTTGTGCAACTGGCTGTGTTCTAACTACTCTTGTTTCTGTATATAATTCATGAGCTAGCTTTCTGATAGAGCCTGGTTCAAATTAGACTTTGATGTTGAAGTCATTAATTTTCTAGAAGCATTTTGTATGATCTTGTATCATGATACAATTAATAGAAAAATTCAAAATGCATAGCTAAGCTGGGCCCAGTGCAAGCCAGTCATTGTACCTACTCAAGGATGAAGCAGGAGGATCACAAGTTCAAGACCAGCTTGGACAACATTGTAAGTTCAAGGCCAACTGGGCAACTTAGTTAGACTTAGTCTGTCTCAAAATAAAAAGTAAAAGAGGGCTGGGGATGTAGCTTACTGGTAGAGTGCTTGCTTAGTAAGTTTGAGGACCTGGATTCATTCCCCAATATCAAAAATGCATTAACTAACATTAAAAAGATAAGAACTTGGAATGTCAGGGCACTGATCTTGAAACTTTTCAGAATGGAATTAGCAGTAAACTAATAATAATTATAATAATTATATTATAGGAGGAAAATGCATAATGAATTTTTATGTGTTCTGAAATGCTACTTTTAAATGCCACAATAGCAAATATTTTGCAAAGGTCAATAAAATTAAAGCATGAACTTTGTGCTTTACCTAAGGTTTACCGGAATCTATGCAAAAGATGTATGATACTGAATGACTTCAAGATGTGTTATGCCAAGTCACTAAAAAGTAGTTTTTTACTGAAGGTAGGTCTGGTTGCATGAGGTCTATGGTAATGCTGCATTCCCGCCCCCCCCCCATGTGCACCAATTGGTCTGTTTTTAAGCTGCTCAGTTTCTTCCTAGAATGCTCTATGACAGCTGCTTTGTAAGAATGTAAGCTCCAAAATGTAAGTCCCTGTGTGAGGAGCTAAGAAACAAAGCACTGTAAAACTCACCTGTTTCCCTTTGAGGTGTGCCTCTCCCTCAAGGGCTCACCATCTGTCTTGGGCAGGGAACTCTGCCTCTCTCCAAGTACTTCAAGCCATTTGACATCCCTGTGCCTCTCATCCCCCGCTGGTGAAATGGGGGGTCTTGACTAGTTAACTCAGTGATCTCTTATAGAGTTTGAAATGTATAACAGAGTGTAATTAAGAAAGAAAGGGTTATTTTGTTGTTTGGTTTGGTCTGGGGCTTTTTGTTCGTTAGTTGGTTTGGGTGTATCTTGGAAGGTAATCTTGTAGTTTAGTAGTTATTATCTAATATAAGGTGTAAAAGTAAAAATTGGCTGGGTGTGGTGGCGCACGCCTTTAATCCCAGCACTTGGGAGGCAGAGGCAGGTGGATCTCTGTGAGTTCAAGGCCAGCCTGGTCTACATAGTGAGTTCCAGGACAGCTGGGGCTACAGGGAGACCCTGTCTCAAAAAGACCAAAAAAATAAAAATAAAAATTGGACTGATGAGATGGCTCAACAGGTAAGGGTGCTTGCCACCAAGCATGGCACCCCAAGTTCTATCCCTGAAACCCACATGATGGGAGCAGAGAATGGACTTCAGCAAGTTGTCCTCTGCCCTCTGCATGCATGCTGTGACACATGTGGCCTTCACCCCCTGATAAAATAAATAAATGTAAAAAAATATTTTAACAAGAGTTTATTTTAAAAATAAGAAACAAGCTTAGAGTGATTTTAGTGCACATTAGAATTAGTAGATAGACTTAAAAAAGCAAGTCGGGGGTATAGCTCGGTAGCACTGGGCTGGACTAGCACATCAAGGCCCTGGGTTCAATCCTCAGCACTACAAAGGGAAACTAAGGTCAACGTGTTTATGCTACTAGTGAATAGTATTTAAATCGGTAAGAATTTAAATTATTAAGTTGGAGTTCCAGTGTTTATTTTTAGGGGCTGGAGAGGCTGCCCAAGGGTTAAGAGTGCTCACTCCTTTCACAGAGGACCAGGTTTTGATTCCCAGCACCCATATCAGGTAGCTCACAACCTTCTGTGACTCCAGTTCCAGGGAATCCAACACACTCTTCTGGCCTCCGCAGGCACCTGTATGTACAGGGTGCATATAAACTCACATAGGCATGCACACAAACACACAAATAAAAGAAATAAATAAATCTTATTTATTTTTGTCTATTTTGTGAGTAATCAGACCACGTAAAGGAATTCTGGGAAACTAGAGACAAACCTTTGTTATTTGTCATGGAGACCAGGAGAAAGGTGTTCTGTAAGAACTTGGTAGTTTTGGGACTATAACTGTGTTAGCTGCCTAATCTTAGGAAACATTGTAGCAGGGGCTGTTTTGTATGTGATGCTGGATCTATGATGGACTCAGTCTCCTAAGTGAATGACATGTTATGTCAAATAGGTTCTAATCACAATGTTTATGAATAAGTAAACATTTAAAGAGACATGGATTATTGGTTAAGAGCACTTGCTATTTTTTACAGAGTTCAGTTTCCAACACCCACATTGGGCACCTCACAACTGCGTGTAACTCCAGCTCCAGGGGATGCTATGCACTCTTCTGGACTCCATAGGAACCTGCACCCACACCTGCATATAACCACACAGAGATACTCAAAATTAAAAATAAACCTTAAGAAATAAATATAATATGCAGCATTTACAAATAAGTGGGGAAAAGCACCTTCAAATGATGCCTCACTGAACTTGCAATTTTATAACAATATTCTTAATTTTCTTCACATGCATTTGAATGGTAGTATGTTCCCTTTTGCCCCAGCTTGCCTGGCACTTGTTATGTAGACCAGGCTGGCCTTGAACTCACAGAGATCCACCTGCCTCTGCCTCCTGAGTGCTAGGACTAAAGGTGTGCACCACCACGCCCGGCAGAAGTATACATTTTGATGAACAGATTTACTCTTCACAGATTAAGATACGCTCAGAGATGTTCCCAGATTATAATTGTACAGGGGCGTTTTCTGCAATGCAATTATAATAGGGCCCCCTTTTTTTTTTTGGTCTTTTTGAGACAGGGTCTTCCCTGTAGCCCCAGCTGTCCTGGAACTCACTATGTAGACCG